TTCTCTAACAAGCATGAATGAAAGCAGGTGTTCTGATTGAGCTCCAGTCTATTATTTTTCTTGATTTGACTTATTGTGAGCCATTTGTGGTTCACTGCTCACACACAGTCAGCGTGTTGAGCGTATACCAACAACAGGAGAAACGTCTGCAGAAAGGATGAGAGAGAGAAAACAGTTTGTTTGGAGAGGAAGTGCAGCGGTGCAGAACGCCAGCCTGAAGAGTGATACAGAAAAAAGGGAGAGTGAAGAGGTGATAGCAGCGACAGCAGAGGGAAACAATGTGTGATAAAGGAGCAGCAGGAGACATGCTTCAGGGCAGAGAACAAAAACTCAGGGTCAAACCTCCCCCAGTGAGCACCACAGCAGGAGGATGAGGACGACGAAGACCCAGAGACCACACATCTGGACAAATCACACATCTGAAATAAAATGGATGCTTTTGTTGACCTGGAATGAATTGTTCCCATCTCTGAGGTTACCCATAAGTGAAAATAAACAACCGCTCGAGTACAAAAGTTAATGTCACTGTAGCTGTTCCTGTTCCAGCTGAAAGTAACTAAGGTTGTTTTCACACCTGATCGTCCGGTAGACTCGGTTCGGTTGGGGACCAATATTCAGAACATTTGTTTACATTTCAGCTGGTGCGTTTTGCATTCACACTGCACTGAGTCTGTCAAGCCAACCGGTCTCGAGTTGGCAAAAATAAATAAGTAAAAATACTTTAAAACGGAACATTGAGTGGAATTTTGACCATTTTTGAATGTATCCTGGATGTCGTTATCCTGTTTACATTCAGAAATATGTCTGAATGCACACCTGCCAAAAGATACAAAATTGTATTTTAAAAACAACAAAAAAAAGATTTTTTAAAGATTTAAACATTTATTGTAATGTAGATATTTGCTGTTTACAGTATTTAACAAAGATGTATTAATGGTCAATTTGTTGAAAAGTACATTATATATATATATATATATATATATATATATATACACACACACACACACACATACACCCCACACACACACACACACACACTATTACAACCCATTAGCGAAAGGCAAAGCGATAATGGTTTTACCCATGTCTGAGTGTGTTTGTGTGCCTGTCAGCAAAATATCTCAACTACTGGATTCAATAGAAATGGTTACAGTTTAGTAAAATTTACAGCAAAAGTTTTGATACAATAGTTCATGGTCACATCACATACTCTGAATGTGACATCTCAATATTTGACCAGATCAGCTGTGAGCTTAGACTCAAACTAAGATATGAAAGATCAGTGTGTGCATAAAACATGGGTGCATCATTTGCTCAAGGAATGCTACATTTTTTTAAATTGTATTTTGGACCTCAGACACAACAGTGTGTGGTCAGAGAGGGCTGAACTTCAACACCGGCACAGGTCGTTTCAGACACGTTGCAATGGATAAAGTTTGAATGAGCAAGAAGCTTTTCACAGGTCATGCTTTTGTCTCTTCACTGTGGTTCTCTAGTCAAGATGGAATACGAGGCAAAGAAGTCTTCCCCCCACCCCCATCTCGTGTTACCAAAACACTATCTATTTATTGTAAAACCGTACACAGCTTTCCTTTTCTTATTATTTCTCGTATACACATTTTCAATGATAGCTTGAAGAGGTTGGACCCAGGGTTGAAAACTGACACCAGAAGCTTGAGTAAGAACTTAAAAGTAAACAGAACAAAACAAAAAGCTGACATGGTAACAAAAAAAACTACAAATAATTAAAATGCAATATGACACGGAGGCTAGTTGGACATCGCACAAACAAGTCCAGACTGACTGAGGAGAACGCTTTATGGAAATTTATGGACAGGGACTGATGATATGGAGTGGAGACACCTGGGCAAAATGACAACAGGTGAGAGTGGGCGGGGCAAAAGCTGAGGAGCAGAAACTGACTGAGGAAAAGTTCTTTGAAAATGAACTGATGGCACAGAAAAACTGAGGAACAGAACAAAACACAAAGACCTCAGCACAGAAAATAAACAAAAACTGAAAAGGAATAAACAAACAAGAAAGACAAAAGTTACCAAAACATAGATCCTGACAATCACATGAAATGGTGAGATGTTTAGTTTAAAATTGCACTATGAATAGAACCTCATGTATGGATTTAAAAAGGTGTAACTTCTGTAATGTAATCATTGTTTCATGTTTGCTGCACAAACAACCTTTGCTTTAGATGTAGAACAAGACTGAAAAATAAACGTCTAAAGCTGCTGATCTGTGCAGTTTGATGATCTCTCTTTGCAAGAGCTCATGGAGTAAATATGAGGCGTGATAAACGAGCAAATACAGGAAACCATTAACGGTGAAATCAGCGTGAAACGAAAGCATTGACAAAAATATTAAAGGTTAAAACTTCATATGCAAGAAAAAGATGGAAGAATTTGTGTATCAGCTCAGAGTTTTGCAAAAAGTCACCTAACCTTTTTCTTAAAACACATGCATGAATAAACATTTATGACATAAAATATTCAGTAACCATTTACAGAAATCTGTCCAAATAGACTCAAATCTGTGTTCAAGTGCTCATGTCACACAGCATCCATCCATTATCTTTACCAATTTCTTCCTTTTTGGGTCATGGGGGTCACTGGTGCCCATATCCAGCAGTCACTGTGCGAGAGGTGAGGGACACCCAGGACAGGTCTCCAGTCCATCACAGGGACAAACTGAGACAAATGAGACAACCATTCACTCTCTCACACACACCTAGGGACAATTTAGAGTTACCCATCAGTCTAACATGCATGTTTTTGAGGAAACCGGAGTACCCGGAGAGAACATGCAAACTCCACCCAGAAAGGACTGGATTTGAACTGGCAACGTGCTCAGTGAGAGGTGGCAGCTCCACAAAGAGCTGTCACACAACAGTCAGGTCAAAATAATGTCTAACCTCAAGAAATACATGTGCTTTTGTTTAAAAATTGTTAAAGTAAAATCTAGGGATGCCTCATTACATCCAAAATTTAAATGGTTTTTATACAAAAATTCATTCAGCCATAGTTCTGGGGAAGTTTTTGAAGTTTGTGAATTTAGAAATTGTGCTTGATATAGTTTTATATCAGCATGGGACAATTATTATTTGCACAGACCTAATTTAATTTTTTTTTTTTTTTTAACAATACACAGCTAACAGAAAAACTTGCAATTTTGATCCATCCACTCATTTTTTACTTGATCCTGTGAGTTTGTTTGTTATGAATGTCTTGGGCACCAATTGTACAGAATTGTCTTTAATTTAATAAAACAAGAAATCGTATAATCCCCACCCTCAAGAAGTTAGAGTCAGCTAAGCTGCTCAACAGGAGTATGGCAGAAAAATTGGGGGGAAATTTACAGGAGATCAAGTTAATGAGCAGAGCAGGCACACATCTGCTTTAGCCATGGGTGGGGATTTCAGTGAAGGTTACAGAGAACAAAGTTGTGGAGAATGATGGACGGGTCATGAGAGAACTCACGATGTGGATTGTTGCAAGTAAAATATGAGAATTTGGCAAAAATAAAATCATAAAATGGTCACAAATGCCTGAGGTGGAGAACTCTGGGCCTTGAAGAAGGAAAACATAGAAAACCAAATAGAGCAGAGAGAGGCAGGAGTGAAGTCATAGCTTTATTTTTCTTCACTGATTCAGCAGGTTAACCGGGTTAACTATGAAAACAACCTGACAGACGCAGAAAATCCCACAAAACTAAAACAAAAGTAAATAAATACGGTGGATGAAGGCTGGCGGTGAAGACAGAAAAGACACAGATGTGTTATGTTCATAGTAGTTGGAAGTACATCTAAACGTTATGGATTCTGGAACATTTTCATTCAGGCTCAAAGAAAACTATATTTCCATAAACAAAAACCATCAATGCAAAATGACTGACTAAAGCAGGGGTGTCAAACTCACTTACAAAAGGGGGCCAAAATTAAAACCTTTTTCAAACTAAGGACCAGTTTCAGAATCTACATTAACTCAAGTTACATACCCAACATCTTTTTTTTAGTCACAGGTTCCTCACAAAGAGTTTGATTGGCCTCATTTGACGTTCTCTGTTGCACTTTTAACATCATAAGCAAAGATTACTGAAAATTTGCAAGTGAAAAAAGTATTTTACATTTAACATATCATCTTGGGGGCCAGATAAAATGTCAGCGAGGGCCACGTTTGGCCTTAAGTTTGACACATGTGGACTAAAGTAAAAACATAATGGTGAAGAGTGAATCAAACAACTTTTTGAAGAAACAGCAACAAATATAATTTCCAGTCTTAGATAATGTTCGTTCAGATGTAAGTCTGGACACATCATAAAATTTAGTAACAAAAGCCCATTTTGGAATTGTTAAATTTAACATTCAAATTTATATTGGTCACAGATTAATATAAAATGTCCTGCAGAATATTTATCAACCAATGAAGAAAGAAAAATCTGGAAGGTCGAAACAACTAAATAAAGAATGCTATAATAGGTTTTGCTAAAATTGTTGAGAGTGTCATGATCAGCGGCCCCCAATGGCCCCCCATCTGCTCACGCCTCTGCCCTTTCATGACATGCCACATTTTTGCTCACTCCTGCCACAGTTTCTGTTTCCATGCTTAGTGTTGCCTATCACCCATCCTTCAGCTCAAGCCTGCTCCTTTCACTCCATGCCACACCTCCCTTGTTTTCTCCACAATAATCCACATTCATTCCATGCACCTGTTCACCTATGCCTCGGTTCTGCCCTGTCCTGCCAGAACTCCTGCCTTCATGCTTTGTTTATCCCACCAAGTTCTTTCTGCTCACTTCACCCTGCTCCATTCATTCAGCACCACGTCCCCTCTGCAATCAGCGTTCATGCCAGCCACCTGTTTTCTGCCCTTTATAAGCTCCATGTCCACAACCCACCAGGGCCGAATTAATAAAACTTCCATGGTCCCGATATCAAGCCATCCATAGTTTCATGCCACAGTCTTGTTTGCTTCGCCTTATCTCAACCTCACGCCTGTACCACGGTTTTCTCGCCTTGCCCGTCGCTCTTGGGATTTTGACTGCTTATCAGACCAGTAAATGACTCTGCTTTCCCTCCACGACTACAATTACGGATTACGACCTGGCTCTGGTTGCTGCTGTCTGTTTCTCCGTGAGTGACCTCTGCTACGTTTTCTGGAGCCTGCTTCTGGATTTGCCCCCCACGAACCTTGTACTGCAGCTGCTCCGCCAGTGACGTCATCACTGCCACGCTGATAGGCGACTCTCTCCTCTGGCCTGTGAGGACCTGTTAACACTGCTGATCCTGACTCCTCCATCCTGCAGCCAAATAAATAAAAACTGTTTGTTGTGTTTGGCTTATTTGAATCCAAAACCCGGTCTTGACAGAGAGGACAAATTGTGGATTTCTAGTTGGTGGGGCATTTTAACACCATCACATTCTAACAGATTACATCTGCAATTAGGGTCATCTCACAAAGATGGGTTTCACACAAGTATCTGAACAGATCTCTGCTGCTTCTGTACATTTGTTAGTGTATGTGTGATGGTTTAAAGTAGTTTTATTAAAAATACCTCTTTAGGAACTTTCTAAAATAACTTATTTTTTTCCCAAAATGGCAGCATCATCTACCAACATGTCTGGTTTTGGTTCAAATGTGCCTTCTCAGTGGGTTTTTCCAACAAGGGGCAACATTACTGACTTGACAGATAATCCTGCTAAAAAAGCTGCTCTGATGGGAAAAGACAAGAAAAAAATTCTTTGAAAAAAATAAAGTTTAATGTAATTTTGCTGAGGCAGCACGGTGGCTCAGTTGGTAGAGCTGTTGCCTCTTAGCAAGAAGGTCCCTGGATCAAATCCCAGCCAGGAGGCTTTCTGGAAGGAGTTTGCATGTTCTCTCCATGCATGTGTGAGTTTTCTCCGGGTACTCCAGTTTCCTCCTACAGAGCAAAAACATGCATGTTAGGCTGATTGGTATCTCTAAATTGTCTCCAGGTGTGAGTGAGAGAGTGAATGTTTGTTTGTCTCTATGTGTCCCTGTGATGGACTGGAGACCTGTCCAGGGTGTACTCTGCCCCTCACACAGTGATTGCTGGACATGGGCACCAGGGACCCCTGTAACCCAAAATGGAAGAAGAGGGTAAAAGATGATGGATGGATGTATATAGCATTCACAAGAGGACAATCTTTAGAATTTAACTCAACACAGTCCCTGCAAAACAGCCAGACTTGAGAGAGAGAGAGAGAGAGAAAGAGAGAGAGAGGGATAGAAAATCAACACAGCTTGGTTTAAAAAGACTTTACCGGGTGAGATAATCCGTCAGAAACCAAGGTGTGTTAACATCTGAACACGTGAAAAGACCCCAAAACCTGCAGTATGGTTGATGGTTGGACTGACTGAACATTTTTAAATAGAAAAACAGATTTATTTAACCAGTGTCTGGCTAAAATAATTTTAGAGGAAATTAATGTAAACAATTTATCTCTCAAATTATTACCTTCATTCATGCTTTTTATTTCTATTTTTGGAGAAAGAAACCAGGCCAACATGCATATTTGTTTCTCCAGTTGGTCGTCAAACAACCTGAAGACTGAAGTGAGTGCATCTGCTTTTTGTCAGACTCAATTGTGGAAAGAATTAGAGGCCCACTCATGTTCCATATCCCAACCTCATGGCAGCACTGGTGTTTGAGCCACTGCCTGCTGACCTAAAATTGTTCTTAAGTTTACGGAAAGCGTTTACCATGAAATAATACAAAAGAAAAACGTTACAAAAATATAATCTTCTATAAAAGAGGGTAAATATTATAACTAGAATAAATAATCACATCAGAAGGTCATGGCAAGATTTTTTTTTTGGGGGGGGGGGGGTATGAATGTTGCAAAAGCAAATATAAAGGGGACTTTATCAGGGCCAGGAACATAAAAACAAGGAAACAATGAAATGATAGGAGTCTGTAGTGGCTCACATGGGACAGTTTTATGTAGACATGATATAGCTGCCTTATTATTCAGTCCATAGTCGAAGAATGCTCTGTTTTTATCACCATAAAATAAAATTGGTTATTTTGGCCTATATAACAGTTAAATAACATTAGTATTAAACTGGAAGTGCTAGTAATGTTTACAGGAGGGAAAAAAGCGTTGGAGATGCTGATGTCTAAACCTTTAGACAAATTTTAATGTCTATAAAATAACGGAAAAATAAAAGTTCAAATTTCTCTTAGTAAACTATGGGGAAATCTGTCTGTCTTTTTATTTATTATTATTATTATTTATTATTTTTATGTATTTAATTTTTTTTTAGAAATGATTTATCTTCGCCTTGAGCAAAGGCTTTGTTGAAACCAAATCTTTGAGTATTGGTGTATGCAGTTTTGAGCCCTTTGTTTTGCAAATCTGCTGGTAATGCCATTGTTTTGCTATTGATTCATATTCTTTTTCCTCCTCTGTCTCTGAATCGAGATACAAAGTATTTGACGTGAGTGTTTCTTCAGATTCCAGCCTTTGTCTGTGTTTTCATCCTCAGGGGAGACATCTAGGCTGCTGCCCAGCATGTGTGTGCATTTAAACAGAAGTAAAACGGTCATGACTCTTGTCTTTCTCTGCGGCAGCCTCAAATAAGCCCCTTTGGTCTGTGAAGGGAATCTTCTAACTTCTCAATCTCATCTTCTTTACTCCTCCCCCTCTTTTCTTTTTCATTTTTTTTTCTAACTGATCCTACTAACCCACCCACTCATCCCTTTAGTGCGTAAACTCCAGCAAAAGGTTTTACCCATGCTTAAGGGTTTTGGCAAAGTGTCTAATCATGTCTGGCACAAGCTCAGTCAACAGTAATAGTGATATCTTTCCTTAGCGTTGCTCCACCTCTCGGTCTGCCATCCACTGTCTCATTTCTTCCTTTCTCTTTTTGTGTTTCGATTTCTCTTCCAATCCATCTGGCAACTACTCTTCCCCCTTTAGGTCACTTTCTTATCCCCTCTGCACACATTCAAGTTCTCCCATCCTCCATAAAACCTCATTCATCAAATCATTCCCTTCTTATCCCTTCAACCCCCAATCTTTCACCTTCCTCCTATCCCTTAAGCACTCCCATCCAACCCCTCCATCCAGCTGCTTTCCCTGTCTATTGTCTGGGTCTCATGCCTATTCATTGTTTACTTATTGCACAGGGTGAGTATCATCCATTGATGGATTCACGCTTAACATTTCCCACTTGTATTTTTATTTGTCCTCATATTTTTGTTTAACTTACCCTGGATCCCTTAACAAAATAATGTCTGTATATTTTAGCTTGTGTATTAATTTATCTTAATTTTCAGTTCTTAAAATAGCATTGTTGTGTAAATAAAGAATTTTGGTTCTTAATAGTTGTTTTGCACACAATTAACTTTTGCCACCAAATGCATCTCTGAGAAAACAAACTCAATTTATAAAACAAAACAGGTGAAATCACAATTAGTAATTTAAACCATTTCCAGGCAAAGTATACTGAATAAAATATAAATGCAAGTGTTGTTTTTCCTCCCATTTTTCATGAGCTGAACTCAAAGATCTAAAACTTTTCTATGTGCACAATAAGCCTTTTGCGCTCAAATATTGTTCACACGTGTGTAAATCTGTGTTAGTGAGCACTTCTCCTATGCTGAGATAATCCATCCACCTCACAGGTGTGGCACATCAAGATGCTGATTAGACAGCATGATTATTGCACAGGTGTCCTTTAGGCTGACCACAATAAAAGGCCACTCTAAAATGTGCAGTTTTACTGTATTGGGGAGGTCTATAAGTCTGTACTGTGGTGGGGGGTGGTCAGAAAACCAGTCAGCACCTGATGTGACCTCATGCAGTGCAACATATCTCCTTCACATAGAGTTGATCCGATTGTTGATTGTGGCGTGTTGAATGTTGGTCCACTCCTCTTCAATGGCTGTGCAAAGTTGTTGGATGTTGTCAAGAACTGGAACATGTTAAATAGATGTCAGGCAACCAGTGAAACACCAAGCTGCAGCAGGACAGTTTTTGCCAACAAAACAAACAATAAAATCAAATAAAACCCATAAGTAGTATCCAAAAAGAAACATGCAACATCTTAAGGTACTGTTTCTTAAATACTTTATTATTCAAAGGAGTTGGAGTCCATTATCAGAGACTGGTGCCCAGTTTCTGCTGCTACCAAAGAAGGTTAAATCATTATTTTATTTAACTCATGTTTGTTTGTTGGTGTGAGGTGTTTGGTTTTCTCATTGCACATTTTGGTTAAACGTGTCCTGTTTGGTCTCATTTTTCCAAAGAACACTGCTCAAGAAGTTTTCTGGTTTGTTCAATTAAAAGGTTCACTTTCGAGAAGAGATTTATTTATTAGCAACTCTTACAGTGAAGTTATGATTGTATTTGTTTGTAATGAGTTTATTGATATTTTTTAACACATTTAGATTTCCTGACATTTCTTTTCAGTGGTATCAGTGACAGAGACACAAGAAAATGATGGAAGATCTGCTTTTTTTAAAAAGCAAATATGAAAACCTGACATCTGTTTGGCATCTGCAGGTGGAAAATAATAATTTAAAAAAGTTCTAAATTACATGTGGTTTATAACAAAACAAACAAACAAAAAAAAAATCAATCCATAGTTTCTAGTAATATGTCATTCACTTAAAATTAGACTTTTTTTCCCAAAATCTGCGAATATTCCTTTGTAATTTTTAATAGTTCGAGTAAAAAAAAAAAAAATTTTTTTTAATCCTTTAACAATTCCAATTTTTTTTATATACGGTATAACAAATTAGGCCAGTCGGCCTTCACTCTCTCCCTTTTGTATTATT